TATATATATATATATAGTGCAGAATGACTGACAGGCAACATATCAATACATACTAATTCAATTTGGAAAATTAGATGTTCATAAAATTGTTTTAAATGAACACTTATTTTACACAATATTAAATAAAAAGTCCTAATATTTGAAAAAACATATTTGACAAGGTGGTAGATTTTGGAACACATTTCTTTCAAGGCTTTGTTTGCAGATATTAAAAAGTCAGAATATATAATTTTACTCCTGGATGTATAATATTCATTATAATTTAAATAGGCTGTTAGTGCACTTTGGAAAGGACAAACTATTTATCTGATTTATCACATTAAAATATTCATTATTATTTGGGACAGACACACTTATTTCAAGTAATATTATGCTGAATGGCCAAACAAATATTCAATACAACTTCCCAAGCCTGTCATGTGCAGATTTCTGAACAGACACACTTCTGTCAAGTAATATTAAGTTGATGTGATCAAAATTGTCAAATTCAAGTTGTCTGACAAAATATTCATCACATTTGGACAGATAAGCTGTCGGTACATTTTGCAACAGACATGTATTTCAAGGATTATTATGTTGATATCCTTAAAATGGCCTAATATTCGATTTGTTTAGCATAAAAATACTCATTACAGTTTGACAGTAGGTTTTGAAATGGAGAAACTACACGCATTGTTATTTTAATGGTGTTAAATTGAGCGAATGTTATCGGAATTATCGGTCTGGCCGATATATTGCTCTCTCACTAATCATGAGAGCAATATTGCGAAAGAGCAGCCTGTAACATGTCTATGAATTGTCCAAATGCGGAACTTTTCCTTCATTCTGCTTACTCAAACCCAAACACAAGTCATGTGCTGTGCTCTGGCGGCTGAGGATGAGGATGAAGATGAGGATGAGGATGATGATTAGGTCACCAGCAATCCACTCAAACATCAGCCATCCTCGCGCGCGTCTCACCTTGACCAGGTCCAGTGGGTGCGTGCAGCAGGCGGCTCCGCACGACGCGATCCCACCGAAATACCAGCGCGACATCCGTTTCTCCGTCATCTCTCCGGTTACCGTTAATTTCTCTCTCTCTCTCACTCTCACTGTCTGTCTGTCTGTCTGTCTCGTTGCACGCGACGAGCTCTATCCTGACCCGCGCGTTGCGCACTGCGGACTGCGCGTGTGGATGATCTCGCTAATCTACCTGTGATTCCGATGAGCGCGAGACATCCTGAGTGCGTGGCGTGAGCGAGCTGACAAACAAATTTCACGAGCAGCCAATTGCTCGCGCGGAATCTGGCACGGCCTCCCGGTGCGCCTGATCCGCCTCCTATTGACACGCACGCATCACAATGCACACAGCAAGAGAAACGCGTGCATCTGACTGCTCGGCGTTCATTGAGAACGAGCTCTGGACTCTTAAAGAGACAGTAGCCACTGAGATACTACACAGAGAGCGCTGAATTACTGCACTGTCACTTTAAGACCAAACACTTCCTCATTCTTGCTTAACTTCCAGAGCCACTGCTCTGACACAATTGAGCTGCTGGGTAAAAATGTTTAGTTAGACAATAAACGTTTGTTCTTCAGAAGTGTAGCCTGCTTATATTCCTATCGAACTGCCTGAATGATTATCTCTTTATACTGTCCATTTATGATGTATAATAAACATATATAGTGTCAAAATAATCTGTTTGCTAATTTATATTATCCATTAATATTATCTATATGGCACTATATCAATTTTTTGCTTTTAAGGTGGTGAAACCATCCTCAAAACAACTTTGAAGTGAGATATCCATAAACTAGTCAATGGTTAATAATTATCTTTAATATTTAACTGATGGGACTTTACTCTTGTGCTAGTGTTGCAATTATCGTGAGAAACAGAGATTGAGAAAATCTGTGAAGAAATGTTGAAAGGTAAAAAAAATCAGAGATGCTTGTTTCTGTTGAAGTAAAAATCAATCAAAAAGTTAATTGTAATTGTAATTATATATACATACATACCATAGGCGTAGCTTGACGTTTGAGCTTGGGGGGGCCAAACCGAACCGGTGGATTTGGTCAGACGTACTTTTAAACACATTTTAGTTTTGCTATAGTAAATCTACATATTCACATTCACATAGAGCAGTGGCAAGTGCGTGAGGTTGTCATGGTAACCACATACATTGCCCACGAATTACAGCTGCGCTTCTATTTTGCCACACTAAACTTAGCAATACACACGTTTAAAATGCACAATAAACATGTCTGTCAAAACGATCTCAAAGGAGGCTTTTATTAAGCAAATCAAGGAGTGAATTACTCATCCACTGTTTTTAAAACAGACATTTGTTGGGCTTGATTCAAGTTAATGCACAATGAGGCGCACACTTTTTATTTAGTCTTATTGAATAGACGATAAACAGTTTATATTCTAAAATCTATTTAAAGGTTGTGTTCTGTGAAAATTAATGTATGTAATTAATGATGTAAATGGTCGGCATAAAAGTAGTGTGCGGCTAAACCGGCTGCGTCCTGTGGATCACCTTTATCTGATTGTCGGGGTCCGGAATCATCAAGCACGGCATTAATATCTTCATCTGAGTTTTTCGTTGTCTCCAGATTTCTCTGCAGTTCGTGTATGTTGTTAAAAATGCGGAACATCATTTTATTCCACACAACAGGCAAGCATTACCGTTAAGTCTATTATCCACCAAAATGCAGATTCGTCACGTGACAATTCTTACGCAAATGAGATTGAGGGAGACGTTAAGTTTGTTTTTATTTATTAATTTACTTACAATAACAATTTAAAATGTATTAACTTTTACGTATTCACTTTTACATGTATTATTAACTGCATTATATGCATTTTTACTTCATAGAAAAAACTTTATAAATAAATATTTAGTACAATTCTTAAATCGCTATGGGTGAGCCAGGCCCCCCTGGCCCCCCCACAAGCTACGCCCATATGCATACATGTGTGAGCACAAAACCAGTCTTAAGTCGCTGGGGTATATATAATAGCCATTGTATGGGTCAGAATTATCGATTTTTATTTTATGCCAAAAATCATTAGGATATTAAATAAAGATCATGTTCCATGAAGATATTTTGTAAATGTCCTACTGCAAATATATAAAAACTTCATTTTTGATTAGTAATATGCATTGCTAAGAACTTCATTTGGACAGTTTAAAGGCGATTTAGTTTTTTTTACTGCAATGCCATAATAGAAGAATCATTTATTTTGGTTCACCAAAGAACCTTTCAGTGAACAGTACTTCAAATAGCCATTGTCTCATAATATAAAGAACATTTTGTGGACTGGAAAAGTTCTATATGAATTAATCCTCATGGAACCATCAACATCAATAAAGTACCTTTATTTTTGAGAGTGTGGGATCTTGGAGGCTTGGGTTTGCAGTAATACAGCTACTGTGACTGAATCATCTATATAGTAATTTCTTAGTAATTATCCCCCTTAAACCACCTGATTTAGAGCCAACAAACATACCTGCAGGGGTCAGTAATGTCTCTGAAGTACTGATGTTGATGAATTCCTCCTCTGATGGTTTGTTTGCATGCAGGGCTTCTGAAGGAGTTCTGTGGGACACGAGCTCATATTCCACACGTCCTCCAGCATGGTGACTTCATCAGAGCAACAGTGGACACTCTGTATATTGTCCCTGTCCTGTGTTCTGCTATTGTGTCGTGCGATTCCTGCCAACGTGTTAATGCACGCATGCAATGCATGTCCAGTCAACCTACATCATTCTATTATGTTTATTAGACATATGCACAATAACACATCAATAAATAAATCATATGAGATACAATCATTAATTATACTGAGAATTGAAAAAAGACGAAAACAACATGTGAGGCTGTGATACAACAACAAAATCCGAGTAACCTAATTACTGACCTTCATATAGCACATAAAATATCCTTCAGAAATCAAAATAAGCTGCGAAAGGCTTGGACATGTATTCAGATTCAGTGTATGATAGGTTCAGATTTCTTAATGCAATTGGACTTTCTAAAAATAAAAACGATGTCATTCACCTTCACGTTGTTCTAAACCAATGTTATTTCATTCTTGCACACAAAAGTAGAAATGACGAAAAAGCACTCATACACTCTTAAAAAATAAAGGTGCTTAAAAGGTTCTTCACAGCGATGCCATAGAATAACCATTTTTGGTTCCACAAAGAACCATTCAGTCAAAGGTTCTTTAAAGAACCATCTCTTTCTTACCTTTTTATAATCTGAAGAACCTTCTTTTGCCACAAAGAACCTTTTGTGAAACAGAAAGGTTCTTCAGATGTTAAAGGTTCTTTATGGAACCACTTAGGCAAAAAGGTTCTTCTATGGCATCGTGAAGCACCTTTATTTTTAAGAGTGTAAGAGTATCATAACATCATCTATAACTCTTTCTATGTGTTATGAATAAACTCTACTGTATGTTTATGATGCAGCACCTATGGGAGACCAAATACAAATGTCCATGAGAATGGATAACAAAGAGCCAATTAAAATAAAATCAAATTAAAAAAAGCTATAATTATGCAAAATTCTCCTTTTGCGTTCCACAGAAAAAAATAACCACATACAGTTTTTGCACATGACAGTGAGTAAATGATAATGTTACTGTATTTCTGCAAATTAAAGGTGAGCACTCAGACACAGTTTATCCAGGTTGATGTCTTTTAGCTCTCTTACACAAAGACCTTCTCCGGTTTGCTCTCTGCTGTGGACGGAGGGTTTCCTTTGGCGCCTTTTCCGAAAACAGGCAAGGCTGGAACTCCAGGGGAGGCGGAGCCTAAATACATCAAAGCCCCGCCCACCAGCATCAGCACGGTCACGCCCCATCCCAGATAGAGCGCCGGTCCGAGTTCACGTTTAAGTGGCGCGGCGACGTTCGGGTCGTAGAAATTGCGTATCACGACATATGCGCTCCAACACACCGGCAAAAGGAAGAAAAACGCAGCCGCGAGGAAGAGCGCCGCGGCGACCCGCCCCAGCCGAGCTTTGGTCTCGTGCGCATCGCCCAGGCAGCGCGTGCACTTCAGCCCGGTCACGCTGAGCAGGAGCGCCAGCAGACACAGGAGCAGCGACAGCACGCTCAGGCCACGGCACATCTGGGCGGAGCCTGAGAGGGCGAGGCCGGAGTCGTAGACTTTACACGCCCACCAGCATCAGCACGGTCACGCCCCATCCCAGATAGAGCGCCGGTCCGAGTTCACGTTTAAGTGGCGCGGCGACGTTCGGGTCGTAGAAATTGCGTATCACGACATATGCGCTCCAACACACCGGCAAAAGGAAGAAAAACGCAGCCGCGAGGAAGAGCGCCGCGGCGACCCGCCCCAGCCGAGCTTTGGTCTCGTGCGCATCGCCCAGGCAGCGCGTGCACTTCAGCCCGGTCACGCTGAGCAGGAGCGCCAGCAGACACAGGAGCAGCGACAGCACGCTCAGGCCACGGCACATCTGGGCGGAGCCTGAGAGGGCGAGGCCGGAGTCATAGACTTTACACTGCAGGCGGCCCCACTGCGACAGACACGTCATCCACAGCCCCTCCCACAGCACCTGAGACACCACCAGCTCGTCCCCTACGAACGCCGACACGCGCCACCAGGGGGCGGCACAGACCAGGATCCCGAACGCCCAGCCTGCGACGCCCAGGACCAGACCCATCACCTGAAGACCCGTGTTTGCCATGACTGATCGCCAACCGATGATTTATTCACTCTGGAGAAGACAGAGGCAGTTTTGAACACAGGATTGATTGATTGATTGATTGATCGATTTTTTTATTTTTTTACTTATTTATTTATTTAAATTTTTTTTTACATCCACAATTAGGTTTGGAAAAGAGTTTTATGATCATCCCTTTAAAATAAAATAAAATAAAATAAAATAAAATAAAGTAATAAAATAAAATAATTTTATCACCATAACAAAAAACTCAACACACTTTGTTCACCTCATAATTTGTGCATAATAACTTTGCATTGTGCATAATATCTCATCAAAATGGTGAAATGAGACATATAAAAACAATTTATTCACTAACAAACATGGCAACATTTATATCTCAGTCTAGACCCTGAAGTCAGAAACCTTGATGCATTAATTATCTTCTAATTTATTGCAACTACGAGACAGAGAGCAAGCGAGCGAGCAAGCGAGAAAGAGACCTTCTCCTCCAAAAGGACGAGCCCTGTCCTCACTTCCTCTCCAGGAGGCTGTGCAGT